GAGCACCACCCTCTCCACCTTTTCCTTAATATTTCCTCTGCCATTTGTCCATTGAGACTGTCATGTAGCTTACGAAGACTGGTGAATAACTTCCCCATTGAGCTCAAAATCCAGCCAGGTGTTCCATAAAATGACACTATTGACTCAATTTTTACACATCTTTATAATAAATATGATCTAACCATTTTTTGTTTCAAAATTACCATTAAAATTCCAGTGTCAGTTGAACACAGAACTCATTCCTCAGGGAGGCATTCTAAGGTCTCCGCAGTCAAAGTCCATGTATAAACATTTCCCTTTTGTGCACTCTAAATGACTTTTACCCTTTAATTATGTCTATTGAATGGCTTCCCATCTCCTGTCATGAGCTATCAATTCATCACTGCAATGACGATTTTGCATAGCTTGGCAATAATATAAAGCAATGACAGGTGTTTGAGAGTCCATGCATTAATAACTACTCATCATTCCCTGAAGACAAAAGGATAATACTATGACTCACAAACTTACATTAATTATAACAAGGGCTGAAAATTTGGGTAACTGTGTCAGGTGAGGTCCTAGCAAAGCACAAGGGTAAATTCTCGAGGACTATGAGAATGATAGAGCAATATTTACAGAAGGAGAGGTGTTGATTGGTGTCTAGATGTCCCCAAAGCCTCATGCAATTTTAGATGAGGCTTTTTCAGAGGTAGCTGAGCCTAGAGAATGTGATTGATTCATAGTGTAATGCTGAGATTAAGCGTGCTGGGATTAAGGCTGAATGATTGCTGCATCAGTGCACTGACTGGATCGGCACCGCCCTAATGCCAGTAGGCTGGGTACAATATAAAGGACAGAAAGAAACTTGTGTCCCTCTTCTCTTGTTGCTTTTGCTGTCTTCCTCCACCATGAATTGTTGCCCCTCTGCCTCTCTGCCTGGGAACCAGCAAATTATGGTCTGGAACCTTAGATATTTTGCCTCAGCAACTAGAAAAGTAACTAAGACATTGGGATAGGGTAAGACTAGTTATAATATTGTAAATTAGTAAGGGGTGCTAGGACATTCAGGGATTAATAACGGCAATAAATTCTGAGGGTTGTGAGGAGTACTCTGTGTTATCTCAAGCTCAGGGCAGTCCTTTTGAGTGTTTAGCAAATGAAAGCAGAATCTAAAACCTTAGCAGAGGGCAGGGGAAGAAAAACCCCATTTATTTCTCCTGTAGTCCTTCTGGCTTTTTGCTAATAATTCTCATTGGTTAATTCAGCAGAAAGCTACAGGGAAAGGGTACAAGGCTGACACAGCCAGTCAGGAGCAAGCCTCTCCTCCTCACAAAGCAAAGAAAGGAGAAGGTGAAGTGGGAAACACAAATGCAGAATAACTTTCTCCCAGTTCTACTTATAGAAAATTAAAGCAAGTTAATTGGAGTATATGCCCTTTCTCTCACCTCTTTTCTTAGCTAACGGTGTTAGGATATTTATGCTAAAGCAGTGCTTCTAACCTTTCTTCATATCAATGTACAAGCAGTCGGCTAAAGATCTGGGAGGCACATTTAAAATGATTGGTGATTAGTGAAAAAAACTTAAGTGAACTACTTTATATGCTAATGAGAATACAGATGACTTTAAATATTACATTTGCAGAAAATCTAAACATTTAAAATTCTTTAAGAGAAAAATTAAGCCTCCTTTAAGAATATATTTCTAATACTGATGTTTATATTTAAAATAGTCAGTTACAATTCCCAATCAAGACTTTTAACTAAAGTTCTCTTTGAAAGGCACAATTGCCCAGACATGCTGATAAATTTGGTTAAGGCTATTTTTGAATGACTATCAAGCCTGGTTGAAACTGTCAAACTAAAAAAGCAGTTGGGTTTATACAGGGTTACATAATTACAAAGAGGTTTAGATTGATCGCTGCGTAAATCCAGTATTTCTTTGTGACTGAGAATCTTTTGGTCCTGGGAAGATGTCTGTGACAACTTCGTGCTATATATAAATGTATAACAATGTCAAAAGGAAGAAAGAAACCATCTATAAGCCTGCCTGATACCCATCGTGTACATACTCTCAATCTCTCATGACTTTCTATGCATAGCAATGTTTACCTACTGACACTGAAATAAAGAAGAAAAGTTTCCTCTGAATTCTTTATGCCTGATTGAAATTCCCTCTCCTGGCCATTTCTGAACAAATTTCTATCACTGGGAATGGTATCCATTGAAATGCTTAAAGATAAATTCCTAAATTATGAAATAAGACCCGGTTAGATTAGGATGATTGACTCAAAATTGTCAGACCTAACCTATTGAGATGTGCTGTGATTAGTACCCCAAACTGCATGTTATTATATAAAGGTTATTATTACTAGCTGCAAAATCCATATAAGCATGTTATGTTTATGACCTCATTTAATTTTTCCCAGAGGTAGATGATTTGTGAAAGCCTCTTTTTCTTACTTTATGTCACTCAACTCCCAAGGTTTGAATGATGTTTTATTTTGATGAAATCTCCTAATATTTGCCCTTCTATTATCTGTCCTAATTCAATATATTCTAGGAAGTTAAAGATCATACCCAGAAGTTGAGAGAATCTTCTTTGTATTCATAGCACATGGTGCAACAGCAAGCAGAAACACTGAAAAGACACCCAGGATTTGGCGGCAGATCTATTTATATTGACGGGATCAATCCCAAAATATCGGGCCCTGATCTCTGGTGCTATAGGGCATATATGGGATAAGCAAGCAGGAAGTACAGAAGCAGAATGGCTTGTCAAGTGGGGACTGATTTATACAATTGCATCATAGTGACCAGCTGTGCATCACAGTGACCAGCTGTGCACCACAGTGGCTAGCCAGTTCTTAGGTTAATTCTTTTTTTAATTTTAAAGAGACAAAAAACTCAATAAAAACAATACAAAATTTTGAAACAAGATGATAGGAAATCAACAAAGGTTGTTATATTGCGTATGGTTACCTTCAAAGTAGTTGCTCAGATTATAAGATATGCAAAATAGGTCAAACAATATAAGCACTGTTCCTTTCAATGAACTAATAGAAATTAGTAGTACAATTATCTTAGCTATCTTATGTGTGTATGTGTGTGTGTGTGTGTGTATATATATATAATATATATATATATATATATATATATATAAAATTTTCCCTTCTTTCTTTTCTCTTTTCTCCCATCCCAGTTGTTCCTTCCTTCTGAGCAGCTTCTTTCCCTTTCACAATATGTATTATACCTTTGGATCTTTCTTATTCTTTCAGTTTCTTACACTAGGGAGACAATACAATATTTACACATGTGGATCTGATTTATTTTACTAATGAGTGTGGTCTCTAGTTGCACCCATTAACCTATAAAAGCCTCAAATTTTTTTTTATAGCTAAATATATAAAAATTCCATTCCTCTGGTGGGCATTTGTGTTGTTTCCAGGATTTAGCTATTATAAATTGTGCTGCTATAAATATGGGTGCAGGTATATCACTGTGTTATAATGTTGTCAATTCTTCTGGAAAAACACCCAGAAGGGGAAAGAGCTGGGTGGAATCAGAGCTGTAATCCTACTGTTTTGAGGAATCTCCACACTCCTTTCCACAGTGCTTGTACTAGTCTGCACTCCCACCAACAGTGGAGAAGTGACCAGAATTTCTAAGAAACCAGAACGAACCAGATCTGGAACAGGAACTACTACCTGGGCAACTAACAAACTGAAGTACACTGGCTGTGCTTGGGGGACATTGTCTGCTTTAATGGTATGCGTATTCAGATATTCATGTGTTACCCTGCTATTTCTCTCACTTGGGTTTTCCTTTATCTCATGATTTATTTAAACATGTTGAGGGCTAGCCCAAGCCTCCATGCCCTATAGTAAATTAATGACATCTAGTCGCTCATAACATCATTCCTACAATTTTTTGGGTTTTTTTTTTGGTACTTGGAATTGAACTCAGGACTTTGCACTTGCCAGGCAGGTGCTGTGCTACTGAGCTATACCCTCAGGCCTCCTATAATTTTTAAAATACACAAAATCTCTCACTGTAGTTAAGTAGCTTTGCCCTCCTTATTACCCCATGTCAAGAATGTAGGTTGCTTGAAGTGAGAAATTTTGTCATAACCTTCGTTCAAACCCTAGTACTTTACTTTCAGTAGGAGCTTCATAAATGTTCTTTCAGTTTTATTGAATTAAATGGAACACAGAGGAGAAACTCAAAAGTCTAGATTTTTCTTTCTTTAAGAGGGGAGATCTTTAGATAGTGTGTTTATTTAATAAATGTAGGTTAGTTGGAAGTAAGAGGAATTACAGCAATATAATTGTGCATTCTAATGCAACTGTACAAGTGAAAATATACACACAGCTTGCTATACATTCTCACCTCCATCCTGACTGAAGCTGTTTCCGGTTTCTTTAGCTTCCTTGAATGGGCATGGTTCTCTCAAGGGAAGTCCCTGCAGAAGTATTAACGGCTGCTATGAAACCTGACAGCTTTTCTCAATACTTGTCTTTCAAGCTTTCATTTAAGAAATCAGTTTCTTAGACTTTCTGTCACCTAAGACTTGGTGACCCTACTTCACTGAATTACTCTATCAGATTTATTAGTTTACTCTTTCTTTAAATGGCAGAACTCTCAACTTCTCCGTTAAATCTTTAGCACACCATGTACTTAGAGAATAAATAAACCAATTACTGACGTGCAGCCAGCTGCAGGAAGACAGGCTGCCCGTTTAGTCGCAAATTTCTAGCAGTCAAGTCAAAGAATTTTAAGATTCATGATAAGTTTAGGCTAAAATAAAAATGATGAATTCAAGGCCAAGTGGGAATTTGTGTTCAGTGATAAAAATCAAACAATAAAACTGAATTAACAGTATGAACCCAACTACTTTATTTTTAAAAGGTGTGGAAATACTCATTTTAATAAATGAATTAAGGCCCTCTTTTTTAAATGACTTCTTCTCTTTTCTGTTTTTTGTCAGAAAAACAAAACAAAACAAAACAAAAAACACTTCCCTTTTATTTTTGGTTAGTGTCTATAGGACTGGTAAGAAATTCTGCTCCAAAGAGTCAGTGTAATAGTAATGTCACTGAGTTAGACAACGTATGGATTAGTGGACAGTGCAACTAGTAGGAGTAGCCAGATGATTTGTGGAATGCATCAATAAGTGGAAAATTTAAATCTAAATTCAAGTACAGGTTCTTTTTTCTCTTTTGAAGTCATTAGCATAACACTTTAGTTGGCTATTTGAGTAAAGTAGGAGTGAATTCAGTTATTCTGCATTGAAAAATATGACAATGCAGATACAATTTTCAAATAAAATTTTAAATTCTTCTAAAACTTTAATGAAGTATTACGCTTGAAGTGGTTGTTTTTGTTTCAATTAATCAGCGCTAATAATGAAAGACCATGAAGGCCCAGAACTTAGGACGGTGCCTGGAGTTCATAAACAGGAGGCCAGGTCATTTTTCCCCATGTAAAAGTGATTTTTAAATTTGATTTAATAACTTTTCCTCCTACACAATAGCGTCTCTGCGGTTGCCTAAATAAACCTCAACAGAAATCTTTCTTTTTAGGCAAAACTCAGAAAATTTCCACTTAGTGATATTTTCAAAGCGAAAAGCGCAGGCACTGTTCTTTCTGGAGGCATCTCGCATTTGGCTCCAGAAACTTTTGCTAAAACGCCCTTCTGCCTAGAACCGTCCAAGCGGCACCACCTCCATCTGCGGCAGAAAGGAAAGCGGTCAGGACTTTTGCCCAAGTTACAGTTCCGAGTCAAAACACCCGGATGAAGCCGCCATGAGATTGACATGAACTTTGTCCAGTAGAATTTCAGAAGGGCGGATCCTTTCCCCGAATGCTCCAATCGGCACGCAGAGCGTCTTCGTCTCCAAGGTGAACGCGGAAGTAAGGCCTTCGCTCCCCATGGAGCCACTCCTGCAGCAGGTGGAGCGCTTTTCCGAGGTGCTGTCGGTGTCTCGCAGTAACCACGTGAGCACCTGGGGCCCCGAGACTGTGCGCCGGGCGCTGCAGTGGGCTCGCTACCTGCGCCACGTGTACCGGCGCTTTGGCGGCCACGGCTGCATCCGCACGGCGGTGGAAAGGCGGCTGCGCAGCCAGTGGGGCCCGGAGGGGCCCGGCCGGGGACTGACGAGCTTCCAGGCCCTTGGGCGCGGGGACGTCCGGCTGTCTGTGAACCTGCTCCAGAACCGGGCGCTGGGTGATGCTGCGGGCCGCGCCCTGCTGCAGCAGCTGTTTCCGGGCGCGGCCCCCCGGGACGCGGACGCAGAGGCGCTGCAGGCCCGCCTGGCCCTCCTG